CGAAACCGTGATCTAATGGTTCTGAATGTCCGCTCAATTATATTGTGAGTGGCAGAATGTGCCATGTTATAACGGTATTCTGCAGGGGTCTCGGGGATATGCAGAGGTGTCATTAACCATGTTCGGAGAAAGAAGGAGCTGTCACCTGTGAAAGGAAATAATCAGAGAGTTTACATGCAAATACTAACAGCAGATCTCAGCTCTTCATTCCTAAACTAAGCAGTGTAAACTAGGCAACTCCCTAGCACTGTGTATAGTGATTTCTTTGGCTTTAAACGCAGAATATGGGTGAATCCAAGCATGCGTGAACAGTGCGTGCCCATGGCTGCACTGGCAGAGGTGGGAGCATGGTGGCTGCGGCAGGAGCATGGCAGCGGTGAGTGGAGAGCTCCTGCAGATGCCGCTGCCATTGTCGGCAGCAGAGAGAAGGGTGGTGAGTGCTGACCACGGGTCAGCGACCACCTGCAGGCAGCACGGATTGCTGACTGCCCACAGACGCCACTGGCGGTGTTGGTGGTGGGGTGTCAAGCAGCAACCGCCTGCAGGTACTGCTAACAGTGTTTGCGGCGCCTTTTTGCAGGGCATGCACTGCCACGCTCAGGGTGCATGTGCACCCGCGTGCACCCCCTACACGTCGCCCTTGCAAGCAGGCGTGAGAAGAGCATGGTTAGGTTTGCACATGAGACCAACAAGAAGAAAATTTAGAGCAATTCCATTCTACCAGAGTAAATAAAGGCAGTGGGAAAGGAATTTAGAGAGGGCACAGTTACTGCACATATGCAGACAGTCTGACTAGAAGCACATGTAGAATAGAGGACTGTGCAATTCAGCCTAGGGAAAAATAAACTGAGTTATGAGGACAAGGACTATTGGGTTCTAAGGAAAGAGCTTTCATAGGCAACAACCTATTTCATCAGATGCTAGGAATGGACCAGACAAGCACAAAACAGGGGAACTGTATACAGCTGCAGTTATTAGATTCTGTGAAAAAATAAGTAGGTCACTGCTCTGAGTTCTGTGAGCCAGGCAGAGCCCACTCAAATTTTAGATCCCAGGATGAGTTTGCGAGACTGCAGTTAGAAATAACCCATTTTTACTTGTAAACAAAGCACAGCTGATCCAAAGTCAAATAACCACGGAACTCCAAAGGCACATTTACAGAGTTAATTTTCAAAGTAGGACGACATATTCTACCCCCCACACGCACATTTTCCATGCAACATGGCCCTAGATAGCTTTTCCCTTGTATTTGCAATTCGGTAGGTGTGCTCTTATAGGCAAGTAGTAAAACAAGTGACACATGCCAGTGAGACCAAGAAAGACTTGTCCCAAATCAGCTGGGGTTTGTTTGCAATAAAAAGTGAACCTCTGTCAGTGATATTTCCACCATGAGTCTACTCTGCTGCCTTCTTCTCTGGTTGTTCCATCTGTCCTGTCATTGGGGTAGACCACATATCTAGCCCATGTTCCAGAGAGCTGTTACAAAGCACACTGTAGGCCACAGGGGACAATGGGAATTAACTTACCAAGTAACCATCCATCTTTGTGTAGCCCAGCTTCAAACTGGCTGGTAAGGGCTGCCTGCTGCAGCACAGTGCAGTCTTGCAAGCTGCCTGGACAGTGTGTCTCTACGCTCAGCAGTACTCCTCTGGCATCACAAACCATCAGGCAGTTTAAAGAGTGCAGGCCCTTTCGGTTCACATAGGACAGGTCCTCAGCATTTGGTGCTTTGATTGCCACATGGGTACAGTCAACCACCCCTAGCACTCCTGGCATCCCTGCCAGGCTATAGAAGTCATCCTTCAGGCTCTGTATCGAGGCTTCATCCTCTGGAAAATGAATGAATTGTGAGGCTCTTTCCACCAGTGCCTCGGTGACATTGGCAACACAGCGGCTCATGGAGGCCTGGCTGATGCCAATGGCATCTCCCATCCTAGTCTGAAACGAACCAGAAGTGTAAAAACCTAACGCAGCAAGAATCTGTGTTTCTGGACTGATGGCCCTGGACCGCTGTGTAGGGCGAGAGAGACTGGCTCCCAGAAGATCCACCAGATAGTAAATGAATTGTCGGGGAAAGCCATACATGGACATCAGATACTCATCAGTGACATCCTCCAGTTTGAAGCGATCCAATGTCCTATGTCCACGGCCATATAGCAAGAGGTCACAGTCGAGAACTGCTATAGGTACAGCCATAGCCAATGCGCAAGAAAGCCCTAGGAGCTGCTCCCAATGTCTTCACCTGCACAGAAGCAAATGGAAGAGAGATTCAGAACAGTTTACAAAATTCAGACCATTGCCATCTTCACTGTGTCCAGGTTACTGCCAGCAAGGTAAGGAACGCTCACCTAAGACAAACTGACAGAGCAAATCTCTCTTTGTTTCCAATTCTGTTTGATTTTTTTAAAAGCTGGGATCAGTTTTAGTGGCCATTGAAAGGTGCTGAGGGAACTGAGTCAGTCAGTCCAGCCTGAGACCAAGAGCAGCGTGAGTTTCTCTACAGTTCTATCACTATGCCTCCACCTTTACAAGAGATGACCTGCAGTAGGGCTTGGAGGGTTCAGCCTCCTTAGCTCTTCCACTGCAGATGCCAACAAGGGGCCAGTTGTGGTCATGGTTTTCATCCCATACCTAGTGGGATCTGCTACTGAGATCACAACAAACCTGTATTTCACAAACAGAACAACTTCCAGTTGCTACCAACTTGGGTCATGTGTTAACTAGTCATCAGAAGACATACGCCACCAGGAAATTTTCCTTATTTCTGCTCTGTCATTGAACCAGTTAAGTTGGACGAAGATGATTCTTTCTTTCTGATGGGAGGGTATAGACTCACGCACCTTATAAACTTAACTAAATCAGAGATACACAACTTTTTATACTCCCAAGCTCTTTGCTTTCCACTTTTTTCTTTCAGAGCCAGTTTTTTTTATGAAGAGCCTCAACTGAAGCAGGTGAGGGTGTGCAATCTCAGAATGACACAATCAAAGATGCTCTCTCCCTAGAAAGTTGGAGAAACAAATACCCACTCTTCTACTTCACAAGATCACATGTCCTAGACAGCAATCCCCTGGGTGTTCACAGTCTCCTTTGACCATACCAGGTCACTGAGAAGGCATGGTAGATCTGTACCTTATAGACTGGGGTGCTCAACCTCCAGCCTGTGGGTCAAATACAGCCTGTGGAATTATTACATCTAGTCCGCAAGGTTCCCCACAGGTCAAGAAATCCAGTAGCAAGGAATAGGCATCATTAATACTGCCACCCTCTCCTGCTGCCAAATTCCTATACCCACTCCTCTCTCACAGCCACATCAGGGCTACGCCAGGTCCCCTTCTCCCCACACGGCTGAACTGGTTGAGCGAGGGCTGGGCAATGCCTCTTCTCCCCTCGGTTGGGGCCAGGCTGTGCCCACTTCCCCTCACATGGCTAGATAGCAATTAGGCTGCCCACTGCTCCACCCACACAGCTGGATTGGGCCCCATAGTGCCAGCCCTGGGCTCCGAATAAGGGCCACCAGCTGGATCCAGCCTGCAGAGGGGCTGGGCATTGGCCATCTGGCCCTCTAGGGAAAAAGGTTGAGCACCACTGTTACAGATTAACTAACCTAAAGCAGACAGGTGGTAGGCAGGTGAGATAGATATAGATACAGAACAGGTTTTTGTGAGCTGAAGTTCACTTCACATCCCAAGGAGCAACTACATTGTGCCTGGTAAAAAAATGCATGTATGACATCAGGGCAACCAGGTGACCCTCCCTGTCGGGTAGCAGGTGCCCAGCCTGCAGTTGCCCGGTAGTGACAGACCAAGGCTGGGAAAGCACAGGGCCCTCTGGAAGTGACCAGGCAGGTCCCGGGCAGAGCCTAGGACACACTGGTGCCACATGCACACAGGTGCTACACGCACAGGCCCTACACATGTACACGCGTGACACACATGCTACGCTGCACGCACACACACACTGTGCTGCCGGCCGGGGGTGCAGCGGGGAGGCAGCTGCTCCCGGCCCCCCGAGCAGCTCCGGACGCCCCCGAGAGGCAGGTCAGCACGGGGCAGCGCCCCCGGCGGATCGCGGACACCGGCTCCGCCGGGAGGAGGGGGCGAGCAGGCAGGGGACCCCGGCCGACCCCCCGCTGGAGTTACCCCGCGGTGCGGTGCGGAGCAGAGGGGCCACACGCCCGCTGCTGGCGCCAGGAGGAGCCCGGGTTAAAGGCCGGGCGTCGCGGCCGGGCTGCGTATTGGCGGCAGCAGATTCCGCACCCGGCCAGTCCCTGTCCTCGTCCCCACCCCCGCCCCGATCTGTGCCGGGATTACTTCCCACTCGCGGCCCAGCCCCAACGCCACGAGCCAGTCCGAAGCTGCTAGGAGCCCGCGGCGGGCGAGGCGGCAGCGTGTGGAAAGTGCGGCGGCGGATGCCCAGGCCGCGGCGGCGCGGATGAAAACAAACAGCGGCGATGGCGGCGGCGGCGCGGTGGCGG